TATATATACTTAAAATAAGCTACAGCAGAAAGAGTACAAAAGTAGGAGAGTCTGGTGTGAAGGATTCAACCAGAGCCAGTAATTACTCTTCAGCTGAGTCAGTTCCAGCAGTGCTAAAAAAAAAAATGAAGCTGCTGAACATCTTTTGTTGATCTCATGCAGGTGTCTTGTGTTCAACAGCGCCCTCGTGTGGTAGTTTGACCTCCGACATGAAGCACCTGGGGTCCTCTTACGTCCACGTTCAGCAGCAGCAGCAGCAGATGGGACTTGCCTCACTGGAGCAGCAGGATTGGGACCTGGACCCCTTCAGACAAGGCCTGACCCCTCCTCAGATGCCGGGGGATCACATGCACCCATACGGTAAAAGACCTGAGCAAGGCTGGAGATTCATCGATATCAAAAAACCTTTTATTTGTAAAACAAAGAAGACATAAGTTTGATTGCTTTGATTTAAAGTGCAATTTATACAATAATAATCCATATTTTAAATAAATTCTTTCTTTTTTTTTTTGACCTGTGGATGTTTGCAGCTTTTCCAAACTAGTGTGAGAAAACAAACTCAGCTGATGATAAAGTTTGAGTCTGGAACTCAAGGAATGTCCAAACATCAGGAAGTTTAAGGAGGAGATTTAACACTGTATTATAAAGATCCATTTTTTGGCACAATTTTTGTGCTATTTCAACAWTTCATACATCAAAACAATCAGCTTCTTCATGACATTCTGTCATGACTTTTGGTATTTGAGCAATTAAAACGTTTTGAGCTATTTAGCCTTTTCTGCCATTTTTGTTCTCATTGAAAATAAATGGAGCCTTCATCATCATTTCAACCCTTCAAAATAGTTACGTTTTTCCTGCACTTTTCACATTTTGTTCTGGCTCTGCGTTTTAACTTCTTTCAGCTTTCTTCAGTTTCTTTTTTTTCTGCCTTTTCTACTAGCTTTTACTCTTTTCAGCTCTTTGCAAGTTGTGCTTCTTTCAGTTTCTTTCTGCTGATTTAAGCTTTTTAATACTTCGTTCAGCTAAACGCAAACATTTAAGCTATTTTAAGCTATTTTTGGAACATTTTAGCTGTTTTTTTACCTTCTGTGAAAATTTCAGCTACTTATTACTTAACTTGGCAAAAGTACTCTTTCAGTGCTAGATTCAGCTTTTTCAGCACTTCTTTTGCTACTGTTCTACAAATTTCAGCTTTTTTTGGGCAATTTTACAAAAAATTGCGAATTTTTTTTTCTGCAACCATCTTTCAGTATAAAGCTTGTGCACTGCATGTTTGCAGAAAAAGCTAATTAGGTAGTTCTAGATTTGTGTATCAATTTAAAGATGTAGAAGATGTACATTTTTACACACACACACACACACACACACACACACACACACACACACACACACACACA